CCTCTACCTTTTTGGGAAATGGTTTTTCTGCATTCATTCTTAAAACCCTTTTCAGAAATTCTCTTGTGGTCAAGTCAGTACTTAAACACTAAACAGCACAATAGCCAGGCATGTAGCTGCTTTATTAAATTAAAGCAGCTTTAATTTTGTCATAATATTTTTTTAAATGCAACTGTAGCCTCGAGCACCACTCAATGAAGTCAGCCAAAATATTTTAATAGGGTTAGCAGCTTTGCTTCCATTGTCTTTGGCTGCCTTTTCATGGGCCTTGGGGTGGACAAGAGGCTAATACTGCATCAGCAGGGAAGTGGTACAACCTCCTAATGCAGTGCTCTTCCTGTGTATTTCACCCATGTTCAGTCTGAAATATTTCCAGGTTGATATTTTTGGTAGACTCTTGCCCCAAAACACAGAATGTGAAAAGCAGTTAGTGCTTATCCAAGGAACAATTGAAAACTTACCCCTAAACTGCTTTAAATGACACCTCCGTGAAAATAACTTTTGCACAGAAAAACTAGATAACCTGAATGGAATTTGGAAAAAAATCCATGGCGATCATCAGGAAGTTTGGAAAGACTTAGCAAGGCAGATTGTTATGGTTTAGAGGAGCAATAATTAAGGAAATACATGATTATTCCACGAAGAGTGGAAGGAGATAAAGGAAACAGAGCTTGTTTTAGGGGAACCAAGTCAAGGAAACAACACCCTTGGCTTATATCAGTGATTACTTTTTTGGTACAAAGACTCAAAGGTGAGGTGAAAATATTGATGTGAAAGTGGAACAGTTTACTGGGATCCAGAGGCTTAGGACTTTACATAGATGGTGTAAATCTACATCAGAGCTATGCAAGGTGCTGTAGCATTTGTCATCCTCTGTGACAAAGACATTATGGGGGAAAATTTTACTCAATCTGGTGATTTAGTCTGTGGAAAGTTTTCTCTCTTATTTGTGAATTCATTGTTTCTTTAAGATGATCTCTGGACTCTGCTATTTTATGGGGAAAAATCTCACTGAGAAGGTCTGGAGTTAAGACCATGGGTATGTCTGTTATAAAACAGCAGCTGTGTTCTGATTACTTTTTTTTCCCCCTGAAACTTTAGTCTTCGAGTAAGAAATCAGTTTTTGATTTATGTGTTTATACCAAGCCTATACTTGCTGTTCAGTGGCGTTGAACTGCTGCAAGATGCAAAAATCTTTCAGTAATTGTAAGAAAATGCTGCAAGCCTGTGCTTTCTTTAAAAGCTATTTTTCTTCAGATTATAATTTTCTGCTTGACTTACTGAGAATCTGTAGTGAACAAGCTTTTTTTTCACCTTCTCACTTCTTTAAAGGCTTAACTTTGAAAAATGCACAAAACTAGCTCGTGCCCCAGTTTCAATTTCCTTGTTTTACCTTGAAAATTACTGCAAATCTCTTCTAGTCTTGTTCTGCATAAAAGATAAGTGCACATTAATAATGCAAGCTTAGAAACTTCCTGCATGCTGTAAAGAATAGGAATCCATTAAGGAAACAATGGCATTGTTTTCCTTTCATATTTCTTCCCTTTTCAGTACCATCTATCATAACCCAGAATAGACTCAAATAACAATTTTCACTCTCAATATACCTAGAGCAGCCATGTTGAAGACTAAAAAATATAACCTTAAGGTCATTTTTTAACAGAAACAAGCCAGTTTGCAAAATGTGGTTGAAAATGCAAGTAAGAGTCTGTACCTGATGCTTAACCAGGTAGGGTTATATACAGAATTAATGCTCTTCAGGTCCGATTTCAGTGAACTGTGAACCCATGGCAATATGTTGGGTAGTTATATCAGATTGGTTACTTTCTTGTAATTGTTGAATTCATTGAAAATGAGAATTCCTGCTCATTAATGCTATGGGAAGCTTATCTCCTCCTGAATAAGTTGATAATTACAGCAGGCTAATAAAAGGAAACTGCATCCTTCTCTTTTCCTCATGGTTCGGCACAGCAGCTTGGGGATGGAATTCTTGGCTTATGCCAAATTTGGGAAATAAAATCAATCAATGATTAAAAATTCACTGTCTAAATGCACACAGGAAACTTGAAATGCTCTTGTTTCCCTTGGTGGAACTCCTTCTGTACCTGTAGGTCAGTTTTGCACATTTGTGTGTGTCAAAGCAAATTTCAAATTAAAAAGCCCAACTGGTCAGTCTTGAAATTATTATTTTGTACCACTAGGGCAGGTAATATCTGAATATATTGTTATTGCTGTAGGAAGGTAATTCACATGTGTAGCAATTATTTTTCTTTTAAACACAACACCTGGGTTTTCCCTGTGGAATTGCCATTACCTGGATAATGTTTGTGGTCTGTCCATAGATGCACACAGATGTGTGAGGAGTTAGGCAAACACAGCTAATCAATTAAACAACTTTTCTTTTTATCTCTACAGCAATTAACTTAGATGTGTTTTTTACACATCAGATCTGCTGTCATATATCTTTTTTTCCCAATACTGACCTATTTTCCCCCCAAGATTAGGATCCAGTGGTCATTACTACTTTAAGCTTCTAGATCAAAAATCTTTCTGTTCCCAGCATATGGGAAGCAGTGCATCCAAATGTTTGTTACACTGGGAGGTTTAACCCCACAAGCAGTTGTGGACTTGCAGTATTCCCATGAATCCTGTCTGCTTTGCTGCTCAAATGCAGGTTTGAAAGCCCATCCTTTTAGAGATTAATATTTCTAAAGATCTGAGCAAGTAAACAGATTTTTGGCAGCAACAGTGATAGGAGTTGTCCCTATAAATACTCAAGCAGAAGTTTAAAAATGTGTAGAATTAGTCACCAAAGAGAGAAGCCCTGTTGAGGTCCCATCCACATCTTCCCCACAAAGGTGACTCTGGGATTAGCAGTGGCTTAAGCTGTTTGCCAGCTCTTACTCAGCATAATTCATGCAGGTTAAATGTCACGGCTGCACCTAGTCCAGTGACACTCAGGAATGAAGATGAATTAAGGATGTGTATCTGGCCTTTCCATTTATTGGCTGTTCCTTCCAGGAGCCACAGCTCAACCACAAAAGCTCTGCTTGGATCTGAAACTTGGCAAATGAATCCCCAATCCCACGGAAATTAGTTAATGTAAACTACAAAGAGTAGAATTATTTGGCAGTTTTTAACCCTCTGGCCATCTATTAAATATGCATAAACAAAACCTAAAGCACAGCAGTTCCAGATGTTTGTTTGTGCTCAGTTTGGGGGGAGAAGGATTTGCTGTTTGAAAAGAAATTAGAGGAAATGTTTGCTTTTGGAAGTAGGACTAGAGTTTACTGTAACTGCTCATTTTCATTCAAACAGAACTCACTGAAGTTGGAACATTTGTTTCAGCAGGGTGGAGCTGCAGCAAGGCTGGTTTAAATGAAATTTAGCTTGTGCAGGATTCAGGATATGACTGAAGCAAGGCTGAACTTGCTTGGCTCTGTGTGCCATGGAATCACAGAACAGTTTGGGTTGGAAGGGACAATAAAGATCATCCAGTTCCAACCCCCTGCCACGGGCAGGATCATCTTCCACCAGGACCAGGCTGCTCAGAGCCCCAGCCAGCCTGGCCTTGGACACTTCCAGGGATGGGGAAGCCACAGCTTCTCTGGGCAGCCTGTGGCAGTGCTGGGAGAAGGTGATGGAGAGCACAAGCAAAGCTGGAGGGGAGCTTGTGAGGGGTGAAAATACTGGAGTGTGTATTGGAATGTATTTCTATCCAGGGAGCTGGTGAATATGAGGTTTTATATAAAATGAGTGCTCTGGCTGCAGTTTAAAGCTTTATATGACCTTGGAATATCACAAACATCCCAGTCTCTCTTTCTGCTTCTGTAAACCCCATGATGCAGTGCAGCTTTTTCATTCTGCTTTTCCATGAACAAACCATTTCTGTGGATGGCCCTCATTAATTTACAAAACTCCTATTAAATGATGTCTGCACAGGAGTCAAAGCCAACTGCTTTACAATCAAATCCTTGCAAAGCAAATAATAAAGCAATCTTTCACCTATACCCTGAGAACCAGAGGACAGACTAAAAGCTATTCCTCTATAGCTTTAATATGGAAGAATTCCATTATTATATGAAGCTTTGTAAATATATATATATATATGACTTCTGTTGCTGCACACTGAAAGTTTAGGACTTTTTCAGAGGAAAGAATATTCTTTTGGCTTAGATGTTTAACATCCCATTAAATGTCTTCTTGGAATTAGGGGACAGGAGGCTGAGTTACAGGCTTTTTTTAGCAGTGAGAGACCAGGGGTTTGACTAGTGTTGAAACACTCAGAGTTACTTTCTGTGACGTATCTCTTGATGTTTGACTGAATTCCCTCTTCTGTAGGCCTGAAGCCAACTTATTACAGGCCATAAATTACAAAATGTTTGTGTTACTGATGCTGCCTGGATTCAAAATACCCAGGGGTTTTATTTATTCTGTAAAGCTGTGTATTACATCAGAAAACTTTAAGCTCTACTTAAGCATTACAGTACAAAAAGACCAGCTGATTAAAAAAAAAATCAGTTACTACGTATTTTAAAAGCTAAACTATTAGGGAGGAGATAAAAAAGAAGAAATATTCTTGTATGGAGACCCTGAGCCTCTTAAATTTTAAACTAGGCAAGGAATACAACTTCCAGAGCAGCAGAGGAGATGCAGGGACAGAGCCAAGGTGTGGATTGCCATCTAGTGGGGTCTGGTCACTGGGGACAGGCACAGGATTTTCACATTTCAGGGGGATTCTTTATACACTGCACAGTCCCAGATTAACTTATTTTTACTTCAACTCTCCTTCAAGCTGCCATCTGGCTTAAAGGCTGTGGGTTTCCTGCTGCAGGAGTAAAAACACATCACATTTTGGCTGGGTGTTGTAGGGCTGCTACAGCACTGGAAGAGGAAACCTCCTCCAGTCATTGCAAAGTCTGGCTGGCAGGGGTTTCCCAGCAATCACTAAACCCTGCCTTGTAAGGGAGAGTTCCCTGCTCTCATTAAAAGCAACTGAATGCAATGAAATACAGCATTTATTCATTTTCAGTCATTTTCCACAGCATAACTTTAAATAGTCCCAGCAGTGCATGCTTGAGAGGGCTCAAGCTAGAATGCAAGTAGGATTTGGACTGGTTTATCTACCCTTCCCTTGGGCAGGCTCTGCAGAGAGCAGGGCAGCATCTTCTGCTTGCAGAGTCCTCCAGAACACTCAATAAAAGCTTCTTCTGTGGTCCCATCTGGATGGTATTCCTGGCCTGGGCACTGAAACACAAACGTGTGATGAGAAAACACCTTGGACAGCATTTGAACTTGGTGGTTTGGTAATGAAATGTTAATTATGTCACAAACTGTGACTCCACTAGGTGGCACAAAAGCTCTTTTTTTGGGAAAATTTAAGCCTTGCCACTGCAAGAAAATTTCTTTAAGGAAATCCAGCACGAGCTGCCTTTTCCATTCCTTTGGAGAGTGATTTCAAAGCATGAATACTGTTGGACTTTTATATCAGGTAGTAATAAAAAACCCTCAAAGTGAAAACTACTCAGTCAGTCACTAAATTTGGGATCTTTCTACTAGAGGGATCTTAAAAAGTTCTGTGATGGCCCTGCCCAAAGGGCAAAAAGCAGGAAATAAGCTGCCAGGATGAAGCATCGGACAAAAACGAGGGAGCAAAGTGTGGAGTTCTCTCCCTTGGTAGGGCAGGATGATGTGAATTTTCCTAGATGAGCTCCATCAATGCCTTGTCCCAGCAGTGGGAACCTTCCCTCAGCTTATTGCAGGGTAGCCTTGGCACCTTCCCTCAGCTTTCACTCCAGTCCTGATGCTGCAATGAAATGCACCACTGGTGGCTGAGCCAAAGAACAGGAATTCTTTTTATGGAGCTGCATGGGCACAATGCTAAGATTGCTTTTTTGTTCCTATGCAGCTGCACAAAAAAAAAAAAAAATCCATCAAGTCCCTCTGCACGGGAACAAATGTTTTTTCACATTTTTTTTAAAGTCTGGGTTTTTTGTTTTTTTTTTTTTCAATGAAAATCACTAACCTCAAAAACCAGATTTGCGGGGGTGTTTGGTTTAAAATAGAAAAGCCTTCAGAGTCTGTTCTCTGTGCAGAACAGGAATTTTGATTGGATGGCAACAAACTTCAGCCAGCTCTGTGCAGTCCTCTGAGCTCTTAATCAAGTGACAGGCCATTCTAGACTTTGGGGTAGAGTTTCCTATGACAGACAAAGCACTCAATTAATTTTGGCATTTCCCTCTGCTCTTGAATTTCCCTGTCTCAGACTTACCCATACCCAGATTTTCATGGTCTCTGCATCCCTGTCACTTTGCTGTGGCTCCAGCTTTTGCTAAGTAGAGGTCACGGGTTCCAGCTGCTAAATGCCACGGGAGGTTGCTAACTAGTAATTATTTGTGTTGGTTCTCACACTTTGGCAAAGCTACTTGGCAGGTCCTGGTAACCCAATCCTGCACTTGGTTTATTGCTGGGAGAGAGTGGAAGCTGCCCACAGCGACCCTTGCTGTAAATATGACATATATTAAGTCCTACTGAAAGACTGGGACGGAAACCAGTGACTTTTTGTTCATTTACACTTTTCTGCTCAAGGAGTGGGAGTTATAAACTTACAGATGTCTGTCTCAGTGGTTGCCTGTGGTCATCTTGAAATAATGGTACTATCTTTATTCCTGCCTTTATGTATTTGATGTTGAGTGCTCCAAAGACTTGAATGTGCCAGCTTTTCTCCAAAGAGTTAGGGTGCTTGTTTCTTAAAATGCTGCCTCTCCCTATTAAAAATAATAATATATATGTGTAAATATTTCAGTAAACTATTTATATTTAGCTTGCAACTCCAAGGATTTTAGTGCTCTGTAAAGCAGACTCTTTGATGGTGCAGAGTAATATTGATATTGAGTTATCACAGTTAAAGGAACTGAGCTGTGAGGTCTGAAGTGCTGAACACCAGAAAGTGAAGCAGAGTTAGGTGCTCAAACCCAAAATGTGGCTGCAGCATGGTTGGTATCTGTTGTGATTAAGACACAGGAATGATTCCTGTGAAATAGCTCTGAAGATGCAGAGAAATGCTTCATTTCCTGAATGTGGGGTTTGGGTGCTCCTTTCCCCTTGCCAAAAGGATTGGTGCTTGCCCAAGAAACTCAAGGCAGCTCTGATGCCCCACTTTAACTGGGATCTGCAGCTGCAATCCCTTCCTGCCTGTCTGGAAGTGCTTTTCCCCTCACTCACTGCTGTATCCATCAGCCATATGCACATGATGCTCATGGAGCAGGCTTGTCTTCACCTTTTTTATGTTGTTTCCTAAAAGATAAGCAGCTGTGTGTATCTGAGCACAGTAAAAGCAGTTCCAAGAAACACATGCTTAACAGCATTAGTGTTTTAATTAAGCAGCCACCTTTTGAAGTTTTATGGCCCTCATGTGTCCATGTGCATGTGTTTGGGTATTTAGCAATACCTCTCAGTTATGTAATGCATCTTCTTTTGTAGGTGACATTTAAGAAATAACAAAATCATAAATATTAGTGACTTGAGATGGAAAAAATTTTCAGCTCATTTCTTTGGCATGGTCTGTCCTGTCTCATGCTCCTCAAACTGAATTGTATTTTATTATTATGCTGGCCTTTTGCATCATATAGTTTCAGCTGTTTCAGAGGCTGCTTCTTTCTCAAAATGAAAACCAGCAGCTGTCTGATGGCAAGCACAGTGGTACATACAAACTAAGAACATTTCATTCAAATAACACGTTTTTTGGCTAAACTCTTTTTGAAGCCATTAAAAACAACCTGTTGCACATTGGGATATGAGGTGTAGCTGTGTCCTGGTGCAAAGCAGATGTCCTGCTGGTGGCCTGGGAGGTGATGGAGCTGGGGCAGAGTCTCCTGTCTGTGTTTTGCTGCTGGGGAAAAAGCTTTCCCCAAGTTCAGTATGGCAGCAGTGCAACAGGACAAACCCTTGACCCCATCCTTAGCCATCCCATGAATTTGGGGGTGTTCAGGTACATCCCACAGGTGACAGGTGAGTGGCTTTTGTCTCCCTGAGGGCATTTCTTGTGGCAGATTTAAGGCAGACTGGTTGCCAGTGGGAGGTAGCTGATGGCAGGGGCATCTAATTACAGGGTTCCCCCTTCCCAGGGTAACCCAGTGTCACACATAAACCTGTCAAAATTCCTCACAGACAGAAAATATGATGGAAAGTCAAGCTGACCCCTCTTTAGGATTTGTAGGTAAAGTTCTGCTTTCATTTGTTCTGCTTTTGCTTGGCTTTAAACACCTTGAAGTATAGGTTTGGCAGAAAATTGTGCACTGCTGTAAATATCAACAGGGAAAATGGCATGTCAAGGGGGATTCCAACATAAAGGAAATATTTCCTGTTGTTCTGGTGGTGCCAATAAGTCCCTGTATACAATAAGGCTAGAAAGCAGTTTTCAGCTCATGCCATGCTCTGATTCAATACTGAGCATCTCAACTCCAAAGGACTGCAAACTTCCTAGACTTAATTCCTTTGAAACAGCTTCATTTCTTCCTGGAGTCAGATGGAGAGACTAATGTAATCAACAGTTATTTCAGGAGGCAGGAGCAGGTAAAATCCCTCAGGTTTTTGTGACCTGCAGTGCAGGGTTGAGCCAGTGAGGTGCCAGCCCAAGGACAGGAAACCATAAATAGGCTCCTGGGGGGAACTAGCATTAGGAATTAGGTTAAAGCAGCAACAATTAGAGATGGAAACCTGAGAAAATACTGCAGTGCAACAGTCCTAGATGGGGGGAGGGGATGGATATTTTCCCCATATCAATAAAAAGGACAGTCCAGCTGGGCAGGTATCCCAAGATGATCCTAAATACCAGTCCCCTTGCCTAGTGGCAATGAACACGTCCCCAAAAGATAACATGTGCTCCACAATTCCAGCTACCACACATCCAGACCAGGGCTGCAGAACTGGGAAAGCAGAGGGGGATGATATTTTTCATGGAAATCTCTCAGTATTGATACTGGGATTTTTCTGATGGTCTCACTGAAGCAGCATAGTGTGACTGATGTGCTTTTTCCCACAAGAGCACAGCTTTAAGTGTAGACTAGGAATTCCTCATTCATTACAAAACTTTGCTCCAGGACATGGGATACCATCTCCTCTGTGTAGGTGTGAGAATAGAAAGGGATCAGGAAGGAACTAGTGAAATGCAGGGGCTAAAAATAACTATATGGCTTTTCTCTCACCAAAGTTAAAAGCTTTGATCTCTTTTTGCCTTTGTTTCAGCAGAAGGGAGAGTTCCAGCATAGCTGTTGATATTTAGGCCTTACACGAGTCTCTAAATTTGTGTGTGTTAGCAATAAATAAAAAGGATACACATTTTAGCATCTTATAGCTGCTGTGCCTTCTTGTGGTTTTCAATAGAGCAAATATTTCTCACTTTGGGAAATCCATTAAGAGATTTTAAACACTTCCTTGCATTGGTTACTCTGATACGACAGCTTCTCACTTGGTATTGTGCCATTGTGACACCTGATCTTGACCTAAGGCAGAAATAGGAATAATGAAAAAGAAAATATTCACTTGGCCACAGCATTAGAACCAAAATCAACCACTTTGTGGGCCAATTCCTCATTTTGAGAGGGGAGTTGTGTTTGAACACTCACCTCAACAATGCAGGGTGAAGCCATTCTGACACTGACAAAACTGTCAAAAGCAAAATAGCCTCTATCTAATGTCTCTGTGACTTGTTTTAATCCCCAGGAAGCTGTTTAAATTATTTCCTCCCAGCTTCATTAATTAGTCACATAGAGAACTTCTGAAGGAGAAGTGAATGCACTAAGTTCATTAATTACTTGAATTCATGGCATAAAATTTGGGAAGTAACTTCAGTCAAAATAATGTTGCATGGTCCCATATCAAGCAAATTAATATCTTGTGTTTGTAGAACAAAGGTTGTAAAAACTTGCTGGTTTCATCATGGTGTGTATCTTACATGCTGAGCAGAAGCTAGCATTTATTGAAGTGAAGTACCTAGGCAGGTACAGAGAGGGGGGAAAGTAATTACTCAAAAATTAAAATTGGTCAGTTGAGTTTCTGTACATTACAAATGGCTAGAATTTGGTTAATGGCAGTGTGGTGGCAACCACTTAATTTGTTTTGACGCCATTCTGCAGGTGCTGAGGGCTCTTTTCTGGCAAGATGAAACCCCTTTGATGTTAAAAATTGTGTTAAGACATTCAACTTTTACCCCTACCCCATTTTTGGTAATTTAATCATCCATTGAAGCAGATCATTTCACTGAAGGGCTCCAGCCTGCTCAGCGCTCTGGGGATTTTTCTCACTTAACACTTTGTTCTAATTTATTGGTTCAGCACTGTTTTTCATGTCTCTGTGGATTTATAACCATAGTTCCCATTAACTCCAGCATGGCAGGTGGTATTGAACTTACCTGTGTGCTGTGTTCTAGCTGCTGTGTAAGAAAACTGTCAGGGTAATGCAGAAAGGTGCAGTTCCCTCCCTCACTTGGAGTTACAAATCAACAGACACAGCATCAAAACCTGCTCTGAAGTGCACTAATCAGTGGCCTTCTTTTGAGAAGATGAGTCAAGATTTAGTCTAAATTTTGAGGATTTAGTCAAGATTTAATTCTTAAAGGTGTCAAAATCTGCTCCGAAGCACAATGGTAACGGCCGCCTTTTGAGAAGATGACCAGGAGAGGATCAAGTCACAATTTAATTCTTAAAAGTGGTGCTGTTAGCCCCCCAGTTCTGACCTTTCAGCCATAATTCTGAAATCCCAGCTTGCCCTTGTGGCCAGGGTGGGTTTTCTCCTAGATGTGGTCCCCAGCAGGAGGGAGGGCTGGGCTCTGCAGGGGGATGCTGAGGAGCCTGGTGGTGACCTCGCCTTCCCCGCCACAGCACCTCCCCAGTGATTTATGGGCTCTGATTTGCTGCTGTCACTTACCTCTGATATGTGAACAAGCTGGAATGAGCCTCGGGGAGAGGGTGGGAAGGAGACAGAGGGATGCTTGAAAAGAAGGTTTCATGCCTCCCCCTGCTCTGAGGGGCTGAAGGTGCAATCTGCCACTGGAGTTCTGTGATTTCTGCCTCACCTGGTCAAGGGGGAAGAAAAACTGCAAACTGATGACAGCCTTGAAACAAGCACTTGAGGAGTTTGGGGGTTATTTTAACTACCTGCAGGTAGAAATCCTGAGGAAGGAGCAGTCGGAGTCTCAGGCAGAGAGGTGATTGCAGTGTTAAGGAAGCACTTCATGATAGAAACAATGCAGGAGCCTTTCTTTTTAGACAAATTCACAACTAAACTGAAAATAATTTATTTTCTTCTTCCTGGTAACTTGTAGTTTGCCGGCTCTGCACTTTGATGAGCCGTGTAAGCATTGCTCTATCAAGTTTCTGAGGAGAGGTGCTGCTCATTTCTCCATGGGATGCCCCAAGGATTCTTCACACATTCTTCTCCACATCTTTGTTCCTCTAAGTGTCAGCCTTGCCACCATCCCTTGCAGCATCCCAAAACCCTTCAGGTGTGTGTGCCACACCCCCAGGAAGGTGTGGAGAATCCAGCTGTTCCTCCTGTGCCTGTGGTGCAAAGTGTGGGTAGCCCTGGGCAGGTTAAATCAGTAGCTGCAGCAGGATATGAGGTTCTGGCATTTAATAAAGCCTCGTTGGAGCTGGATGTGTGGCTGTGCTTCATTAGTGAGGAGCCAAAGAGATGTGCTGAGTGATGTGCTATCTTTTTAATCATCTTAGTCCACATGAGACTTGGACAGAGCTATTTATTACCCATCCTGTTTTCATAACTGAGGTTTCCAACTCAAGCTGAGGGACAGGAGATGCCAAACTTCTCTTGGTTTCTCCCTTTTCTTCCAACTTTGGCTTGAAGATGCTGCTTAATAACACTCAAAAATCAGTATTGCTCCTCAGAAATGTACACCATGCTGGCAGTTCCTGTAAAACAGATAAAATTACTCATTTTTCCTGGGAACAGGTCTGGGAAGTGTGGAGCATGTTAAAATGGAGATCTTTGCTGTCTGTGTTGCAGACCAACACACAGTTTATTTTCTAATACTTTCTTGCAACTTAAGGGTTAGATTTTCTTTGCTTAATTTGCCTAAAATGTGTAGAAGTCTTTTTCATACTCACCTCACAGTATGATTTCTGAGCTGAAACTTTTGAGGACTCCCATCACAAACTTTTGAGGAAATTTGAAAAGAAAATGATGAAGGTAAATGTCAGTGCCTTCATGAGCTTTATAGCACGTGGGGCCAAATAATACAAATAATAAAATACACTTCAGTTTATCTACAGCTATTTGTGACTCAGGAAAGCTCTGGCAATTCCACGTGTGCAGGATTTGATGGAAAAGCTGACACAACTGTGGTGACAGCAAACATCTCACTGTACTTGGGAGAACAAAATCTCATCTTACTGTGAGGCATTATCAGAGGTGCAGTTGTAAACAAGGGATCAAAGTGCACCCAGCACTCCCAGGCTGGGGAATAGGAAATGCCTGCTCTCTTCCATTTCAAATGAACTCCTCTAGACAAAAAGTTGCAATTATCCAGGCAGCTCTAAGGAGATGAGTGAGCAGCTACTTTAGAAGCATGTGGGTGTTAAGCATACACAGTTCAGGTGTTGCCTTCTGGCAGTTTTTGTGTGTTCTTTAATATTAATCTTTGTAATTTAATAGGCATAAATAGAGATCATAATTACCTTAAACAAAAATGCTTTTAAAGTTTCATCTGGCACATTATTTTGTGCTTTTTTTTTTTCTTTTCAAACTGCAAACCATCCAGGCAGGATGGGAAATACAATACTTGGTGTCTTATATTGGGTAGCAGTGTTTCCCTGCTGAGGTGATGGCCTAAACGTGGGGAACTTCCACAAAACTTGGTTATTTTGGTTATTTTAGGGATATCCAGAGTTCAGACTGTTTGGGAACAATTTCTGACAGTCAGTAGCCATCTGTAGGTATTTTATGGAGTGGTCCACTAGGATCTGGGGGAAATTAGGAGGTGTAGTGTGCCTTAAAGCTAGCTTGCTAATTCATAAATAGCCACCTGAGCAAATGGGAATGAGGGGAAATTTTTGCCTAAACCTGGGAGCAAAACATCTCTACTTCACCTGATTCTGACATGCCCAGGCTCCCTTTGGATAGACCAGCCTGTCTTGAGGGTACTTTCCAAGACAATTTAAGACCCAGCCTCTCTCTTGAGGGAGTTAGGGCTTTCATGTGCTCCTGAAATCCTTTATTTTTTCCCTCTGCTGCTGTTGTTTCTAACAGCTGAAGACTGAGGGGTGTGGAGAAAGCTCCAGGAGGTATCATAAACAGAACAAAGCACCCAAAATGGGGCCAAGCCCCTTCCTCCTTTCCTTTTCCTCCTGACTGATGGCAGCTCTTCAGAAGGAAAAACTTGCATCTAAATTGTCCCTTCCCACTTTTGGGATTTCCTTTTCACAGCTGGCCAAGGTTTGGGGTTTATTTTTCCTCTGTTGCACTCCATTTGCGAGGAGGGAAATGCATCACAAAGCCTGAGAGCCCAGGGCAGGGTTGGTACTTCCCCCTCTCACCTTTCTGCATCTCTGAACCTTCCCTCTCCCTTAGATGTTTGGGGAGCAGCTCAGGCCAAAAGGAAGAAAGGAGAAGCGTGGGTTTAATTTGGCTTATTGTTTATGGTGGATTGCCTAATTTTAGGTGAATGGCCATTTGTTATATTACCTGATCTGCATTTTGATATTGTAATTTGAATTAGGGGAGTCCTCCAGTGCCAAGATTAGCATCATAAAATGAAATAAAATAAATAAAAAAGGGTTAAAAAAACAACCAGGCAGTCCAATTAAAATTGTGGCTGTCTGGAGCCATGGAAAAATGTAGCATAAACAGAGCTGCAAGATTTGCAGGGTGGAGCTGGCACTGGCAGCAGAGTGCAGGTATATACCTGTCTCCCTTATTTGGCCCAAACAACTGCCAGTGTGCTCTTTTTTGGGGATCAGAGAACAAAAGTGAGGCAAACACTGCTGAGCTGCGGGAGAAGCCAGCTCCAAGAGGATAAGTACCTGTTCAAACATTCCCCCCTTTCCTTGGAACATCTCTCATCTAAAGGGCTCTCAGCTCCCGTGCTTATCGGTTTATTGTCCTGCTCTCTGGCAATTCGGGATCCACTTCACCCCTTGCAAGCTCACATCACTGCTGAGCCAAACTGACAAGATAAACTCAGTGCTTAAAATTCCATTTCCAGTAATAGAAATGTACCCCATCCTGTCATTTTTTTACACTTTTTTTTTTGAAGTTATACAAAACACCACCATATTAGATTAAGCCTGGAAGGCACAAATTTAAAGGGTGAAACCTGTGTTTCTGAACAGAATGACAGCCTCTACTTTTCACACTGTAGAATTTTCTTTTGACTTTGGCACTCAGATTTCTTCTTTCTTTACAACTTTTCTTTTTTTTCTTTCCTTTGTCTGTTATTTTGTGTAATTAAGCCTTGAATTAGTAAATCACTTAAACATGCTATAAGCTTATACTGGAGTTCTCTTGAAATCAGTGAGTATTAGAGTTTTGTTCAAGTGCTTCATTAAATCAAAATCTTTGTCCTTCAGTCTTATTTTGGAGGGATTTTGCACCTAGTTCAGTTCCTAGATTTCATTTCAGTACAGTTATGCCAAGTTTGCTCACTGGCAGTGATTTCTTCTGGGATACTTTTAGAAAACTAAAGTAAAAAGGAGCTGATCCTCAGAAAAGAAGAAATTCTATTGGCATTTGGATTCCTGGATGGCCACACTGGCTCAGCTGGACACAAAGCTGATTTATAATGTGGTGAAGCACCCCAGGCTCTGAACTGTGTCAAGAGCAGCTGCTGTGAGATGTCCTTCCTGTCCTGTTGGCAATAAGACAACCCTTAGCACAAGATTTGTGTGCTGATCCTTAACCAGCTTGCAGAGTGCAGGGGTGTGTTTTGGTCCAAATATGCCAAAATTAGCAAAGATCTGGAGATCCTTTTTGTATAGAGCAGTGTTGGAGGCTTGTGGAGAGCATAAACTAATGCTCAACCACTTCTTGATAAATGTGTAATCCAGCAGAATTTTGGCTCTGAGTGACAGCATCATCAAAGCTCAGCATTTGTCACTCCCTTTCCAAAATGCCTTCTTCATGCTCCCCTTTATCACTTTTCTCTTAATTGCCCTGAAAAAAATGAATCCTTATAAAAGACATAATTCTTTCTTCTCATTTGAATTCCCTGTACAAACCAAGTCAGCAAACACACAAACTCTCCTAGAAAAAGTCTTTCATGTAGGTAACAGTGGACTTTTTTTTTCCTTTAAGAGGGCAGTCTGCCAGAGGGTGTCCAATATAAGCTTTTGTAGACAGCAGTTTTTCTACACAGAGCTGAGTTGACAGCTTTCCTCCTGGGATAATCACAATCTTCATTCTTCTGGGACAAAATTGCTTCTGACAATATAAAACCCAGGATATCTTTGATGTAAAATCTGACTCAAACACATGAATGGTGAGACTACAGAGCCATCCCATTCAAGAGAAAATATTAGTAGTGGAGGGGAGATCAGAGGTGCCAGCTGAATTAATCAAACTGGTAATATGTGAGGAAGTATCAGTCCATAAAGCTGCCTAATAAATCTGAGTGCACAGCGTTGGAAGGGAAGTGCCTCTGGACACTGAGCTGGGTGTCAGACTGGGGCAGGGTGCCCTGTGAGTGTAGTCCTGCCCTGTCTGGCTCTCTAGTGCTCGTTGTCACAGTGTAATGTGCAGTGCTTGGCTGTCCTCCCTCCCTCTTCCTTTCTTCTCCTTGTTTGGAATGGGGAGCTGCTGCCTCAAATCATAGGGGTGAACCTTGCAGGGTTGGCTCTGTTCCCTCGGGATAACAAAGGGATTGCTGGGCACCATGTGCCCCTAAAAATCAGCCAAACTGAGTTTGGAAAGGTAATTATGGTATTTTTCCGGGAGGGACAGAACATCAAGATGAGCAGCCAATTTTCTGCAGAGAGATTTAAATAAAATTAACCAGTGCTACTGTGAGGCTTTTTGCTTAGTTTTTTCCTTAGATTTTAAAAAAGACAGAAGGTTTGGGGTTTTTTTCCAAAGCTCGGGATGTTTTGGGATAAACAAAGGTGCAGTTAAACAAAATACTAATTGTGGCACGTAGCCCAGGAATATCAATATCCTGGTAAGCCTGGCTTTGAGCATCGTTTGTTTTTACAAGGCTGTGGAGGTTGAGCAAAGTATTGAAAACCAGAAAGGCAAAAGGAGATGTGTCTGCTCCTGGAGACTTTAAGCAAGCAGAAGGATGGAGTTGGTGAGAGGGCAATGTTGAGTTTGCGGGACTCGTGTATCCAGGCGGGAAGCAGTGGGTCAGCAGGTGGCACCAGCGCCCCATCCATCCTTCCATCCATCCATCCATCCCTGCATCCATCTCCCGGCAGCACCGCTCCACAGCCCGCTGGGTTTGGCAAATACCCTGTTTGTTTTCCTTTTTGGCTCGTGTGTAGTGTCACCCAAACGCCAGACACTTTATCTGAGACCAAAACTCAAAACAATTGCTTCCAATCTGGGCTGTGTCCCTCCACCTGAAGTGAGGAACAATAAGGTCTACTCCTTTCTGTGCCCCTTACAGCAGGAATTCAAGATCTAACAGCCTGCCAGCTCCTAAAAAAAAAAAAAGTTTTAGATGATTTTTCATCTCGTTTTGTTGTCACAATCACTTTTCCTAAGCGTTCCTGCAAGAGCCCTCTAGAAAGTGAATGGAGTTCAGCCTGGAGGGACCTTACCAATGTCTAGAAGAATCTGCAGGGAGGTGCCAAGGGGACGGACCACCCTGCCCAGTGGTGCAGGGCAATAGGACAGGAGGCAGGGGAAGAAACAGATGTGCAGGATGTTCCACCTGAACACAAGAACTTCCCCAAGCAGTGACCAAGTGCTGGAACAGATT